TGGACTGTATGTATCTACCCTTGCTGTATACAGCCATGTGTCAACTGGACTGTGTGTATCTACCCTTGCTGTATACAGCCATGTGTCCACTGGACTGTGCGTATCTGCCCTTGCTGTATACAGCCATGTGTCCACTGGACTGTGTGTATCTACCCTTGCTGTATACAGCCATGTGTCCACTGGACTGTGTGTATCTGCCTGCCTGGTGACAGTCTGGTGATAATCCTTTATCAGAAAAGCAGAAATCCGTAGGATATGTGCTGCGTGGTGATGACATAATCAGTGTACTTAATGATGTCATAATCAGTGTACTGGGTGAGGAGTCTAGTAACTATACCTGCAATGAATGATGACAGGTGCGTCGTCCACATTGGCGTCCATAACTGTGTCAATGAAACTCAATACCTGGTCAGTGTACAGTGGTATGCCTGCATTGTAGAACAGACATACACACACAGCCACACACACACAGTCATACACACACAGTCACACACACAGTCATACACACAGTCACACACACATTCACACACATAGTCATACACACATTCACACACATAGTCATATACACAGACATATAACACCTGGTCAGTATACAGCGGTATACCTACACCTGTCATGTACACAGATAAGTACACATACAGGCAAGAAGACGGACAGCAAACACACCATACATATTGATAGACAGATGGACACACAAATAGATAGAGAGGAAAAACAGACAAACAGACAGACAATCACAACATTTCCACCCACAGATTGGACTGTGCTCATAGACCCGTGTAAACATCTCCTAGTTTACGCTATCCATCCAATCTAACAACATAGGCTTTCTTTCCCAGTACACGCAACATCCTAGTGCAGTTCATACTGACAAGATCAAACTGATATCAAGGCTGGCTATGGGCTTATTGGGGAGATTTCCCTACTTCCTCCTCATCATTAAAATTGTCGCTTCCCAGAGCGAATTTTCAAATTTACTTTGTCCACTCGAAGGGCAAAGAAATCAGCTAGAAATTGAGGCAGAGCATTGTCAACGGACCAAGCTTTAGTTTGTGGCCTCCTGCTTGGCTGCACTTGCAGCTAAGGTCAACGTCTTCATCAGAGTTTGAGGCAGACCCATCAGCACTAAACACGACGCTGAACAAGACGTGCGTTCAAAACCAGGTCATGAGAATTTGTTTTCAAGCGATCCATGTCTCCAGGTGGCAGGCGATGACGGCAAACTGGCATTTTTCAAGTACACTGTAACGACCTTCCAGTGGGATAGGGTAAGCAGTTCCGCACCTTTTTTCCTTGGCAAGCGCTTCACTGATTTTGTTGGTGTTTTCAGACCTGCTACCTTCGCAGCAACATGCGTCACACGTAGCGCATTTTAGAAATTTGAGAACACTTTGTTCTTGCCATCGTCAACTTCAGCATTTCGAATTCAGGAGAGATACAAGGATTCTTAGACCCGAGCTTGCAGTCTTGATAAATGCCCAGGTGAACGAAGTGGGGCGGCACGAACTCCCGAAAAACAATACGCGCTCTGGGGAAAAATAATGCGGAGCGTGATGAATTTGTTTGGTGCGGAAGAGAGCTCCGAAACCACAACGGCTGCAGTAACAAGTAGACATTGCGCAGGGAGGATCGCACCGATGTTCGAACACAGAAAACAGCAATTCCGACAGTCTGACTAAGACGAGCCAAGTCACAAACATTGCGATATGCGAAGTGACAATTTTAATGACTCGGAGAGGAAGTACTCACATAGCCACCTGATGCAAGCTGGGCTGTGTCGAATGGTGGTGTAGTAGGGGGAGGGGAGAGAAGCCGTCGAATGGTGGTGCTGTAGGGTAGGGGGGGGGGGGGGGGTCGTTGGTCACCTTGCCTAATAAAGTACTTATATTTCAACCCTGGGCTACACATACCCCGCTAAAGGGGAAGTTAAGCCTAAAATCAAATTTTCACCAGTTGCATTCTTCGGGGTGCTGAGTCGAATGGTCTTGGTTCGAGGAAGCTGAGACGCTCCCTTCCTCCTTTGTTCCCAATCGAACTCGCGCACTTCCACCGAAACTGGGTGACTACGCCTTACTAGGTGGGGATTTGTATGCAAAATTTCACTGAAAGTGCCATGTCGTTCTTATAAAAGCACGGATGACCGCGATTGGCCCATATGTTGTAGTCCTTTGAACGTTGAGTGGACTGGCTTTGGTCCGAAAAGGCTGCGATGTAGCGTTTGGCCCTTATTCCCAATTGAACATGGTTGAACAAGCGGTCACGTGCTTCTGCGTACACCAGTCACCTAGTCACCACGCCTGCAGGCTACAACTTACAGCATGTTTGGGCGAGTTTCTGTCACTCGAGTTGAACCTTGGTGTGAAATATGTCGCCTGCTGGCGTGGTGACCAGGTGACTGGTGTACGCAGGAGCACGTGACCGCTTGTTCAACCATGTTCAATTGGGAATAAGGGCCGAACGCTACATCGCAGCCTTTTCGGACCAAAACCAGTCGATTCAGCATCCAGAAGACAACAACATATGGGCCAATCGCGGTCATCCGTGCGTTTAGAAGAACGAAATGGCGCTTTTAGTGACATTTTGCATACAAATCCCCACCTAGCAGGGCGTAGTCACCCAGTTTCGGTGGAAGTGCGCGAGTTCGATTGGGAACAAAGGAGGAAGGGAGCGTCTCAGCTTCCTCGGACCAAGACCATTCGACTCAGCACCCCGAAGACTACAAGTGGTGAACATTTGATTTTAGGCTTAACTTCCCCTTTAAAGCCGTATTGTGTGTGGTGCTTAAAACACAAGGCTGACAGATTGTGTGGTAATTGAACTGCATGGCTGATGGATTGAGTGCTGCAAGGCAGAGTTGTATAATGGTTTTCGAATAGCATGGCTGAGTTATTGTGGTTGGAAAATTGACATACCAAAATCTGGCCATGCCTTGAACCAGAAATGACGAACCACTCTTGTTTCCTTGCTTGCTGATGTGTCGTCATCCTATACAACGCAGAGCAATCAAAAACAAGAATGATACCTCCGAGTTTCAGAATGATACCTCAGCCTCTTTTTTCTATACTGTAAGTCTACAAATTTTCTGCCCATTCAAATTTCAATCTCCCAGGGCTAAAACCCATTTTGATCTCCCAGGGCTAACACCCATTTTGATCTCCCAGGGCTAACACCCATTTTGATCTCCCAGGGCTAACACCCATTTCGATCTCCCAGGGCTAACACCCATTTTGATCTCCCAGGGCTAACACCCATTTCGGGCGCATCAAATTTCAGACCTGTACTGCTGCCACCTGTATACACTGTCACACTGCATGTTGCAAAACAAATTTTCGGCCGCAACAAATTTTCGGCCAAACTTCACCTGGCCGAAAATACCCGAAAATAGATATACGCCGAATATTTGTTTGACTTACAGCAGATCTTTCCAGGAAAAGCCTACATTACCATAAAGTCGCGGATAAAAGCGGGGCTTATAAGCACATAAGCCGCTTTCTGCATCAGGCTTTAATGCAAACCAGGCTTGTATGCAAACCATGCTTATATGCACCACTGATATTTTTGCCAGGCTTGTATGCCAGGCTTCTACGCGCGACACGCATAGATCTACCACTGACTACCGGTATGGCGGCAGTTTTACTATGCACCGTACATAGCGCATGCACTCTTGGCCTACTCGATCCGCGCTTGCATAGAAGCCAGGCTTCTACGCGCGACAGGCTTATATGCATTTGACCCGTTTGATTTTCAGGCTTCTATCCGCGATGTGCTTGTATGCAAATCCGGCTTTTATCCGCGACTTTACGGTAAGTGAAGTACGATTTCCAAATAGCAGGAAATGCAGATTTTTGCCATAATTCCCTTTCCGTGAAAACTGTAAAGGATCAAGAACAGCCAAAATGATGTAGTCAACCTGAATGACAAACATATTATCTAACCCATGAGCATTGTGTGGCATTCTGTGCTAGTAACAGTACCCAGTCTGTCCCTGCGGGAATTTGCGGAAAAAATGCTCGAAAACTTGCGCAAGAAATTGCGGCAGAAAAAAACAAAAATGCGACGAAAAGTGCGGAATAATGCAGAACTTACCAGGAATTCGCGGAATTATTTGCGGAAAATTGCGGATTTGGGCCAAATCACAAAATTTGCTGCTTCGTATATCTACTCGGGAGTAGTACGAGTCGTACTGTGCAAATAACCTACAGGATCATTAGAAAGCACTGCGTGAAAAGTGCATAAAAATGTGAGATAATTATAGTGCAGAAAACAACCAAAACGCGGGAAATCGCGGATTTTGCTGAAAATCGCGGGTTTGGGCCAAAATCACGAAATTTGTTGCATCCGTGGAATCGCGATTTCCTGCAGGGACAGCCCAGTACTACCCATACCTCATCAACATACTGTGTTATGCTGTAGCAGTAACATTACCCATACTTCATCAACATACATTCAACAGGACAAGCCATTGTTTTACTCAAAGAGAGGGTGGGGGGGGGGGGGGGGAAGGAGCAGCATACCCCCCCCCCCCTCCTCCTCCCTACTCTGATGGTGCGCTATGTTTCTGATTTTTGGATTTTGTGTTTTTCAGTTCACACAATGAAAATGCATGCCGTGCATTTCATTTCGTGTGAAAAGGCAATAGTGGAGCATGGAAAAATGGGTAAGTGGGTTTTCCCCTGCCCCTCCTTCAATATTTGTCTGCCTTGAACCCTGCTACCAGTAGCCATACCCCATGGATACAGATTACACAGTATAAGCAGTAGCCATACCCCACAATACCAATACCCTACAGTAGCCATACCCCACAATACCAATACCCTACAGTAGTCATACCTCACAATACCAATACCCTACAGTAGCCATACCCCACAATACCAATACCCTACAGTAGCCATACCTCACAATACCAATACCCTACAGTAGTCATACCTCATCAACATAGATTGTCATAGTGGTGAGAATGTAGTCTGTATGATCAGTGATGTCATCCACAGTGACACATA